TCAATAACGGGGATTTGATGCTCACTGAAAATGTCTTGATGTTTAACGAATAAAACTTACAACTTTCATATCAATGCTCATGTTGTAAGTTACACATGCTCATTTGTATAGGTCTGATGCTCATTCATCATTCATTAATACTCATGTTGTAAGTTACATATGCTCATCTGATACTCATTTTATGCTCATTTTCTAAATGTCATATCAATGCATTTTTTAAAAGTATTATTTTATGATAGACTCCTAAACCTCAACATAATAGGTTTGATGCTCATTAAAAGTTCATTAATGCTCATTCACAAGAAACTATGATTTTCATTTCAATAGCAGATGTTTGATGCTCAATTAAAATGTCGCGATGTTCAACTAACAAACCTTACTATAAAAAATAACAAAAAGAAAGCGAATCAGAAGTTATGAAGCAGATATCACGATTCTGAATATTAGACTCCTAATACTCAACAAAATAGGTCTGGTGCTCATTAAAAGTTCATCATTACTCATCCTCCTGAAGTCGTGATTTTCATCCCAATAGTGGAGATTCTCTTCTGCAATTTTGAAACAGTAAACACATGTGAGAACCACGTTTCTCACTATGGCCGATTGTTGGTGAATTACTTTTGGTTGTGAATACCATTATTTTTTGGGAGTTAAAGAAAAAAATAGAAATGACCAATATGTAATTTACGTTTGGCTGAAAAAGGACTTTGGATTTCTTATAGAGTGCTATTCTTATTTCATTTGAAGGATTATTGGTGTGTGAATGAAATCTAATATTGAATATGTGATTTATCAATTTGGGAAAAAGTATTTTGTCTTTCTTCTCTCAGTACTAGGCAAGATTGACCATCATTTCCAAAGGGGAAATGATACGATTATCCCAATCGATTCTGAAATTCGATGAGGTTGGTATCCTATCTGTTTGATTGATATTAGCTAATAGCTTATCAAACCATTCGGATGTGATTAAGTCTTTAGCTGGACCCTTGTGCTTAATAAGATTTTCCTCCTCCTCAGTCTGTAGCATATAACTTCTCTGATCGAGTAATTTGAATACTAGTATATGTCATTAGCTTATTCAAAAGGCAAATTTGAACTAATTGTGCCACAGTTGAGTGTTTATTCGAAGGTCCCCCTGAAACCCCCGAACTGAAAGACCATCCCTAATGGCGTGCTAAGAGGCATGTTACTTTGTAAATGAAAATTCATATGCAAACTAAAAACTACACATGAATATAAAAAACACACTGCAAATGGAATTACATGCTAATGAGTAATGGCTTAAACAAAATTGCAGAGCATGATTGTAAAAAAATCCACTGTAAGATGTGGGATGTAATTTTTAGATTGACATTACTTTCAAACCTCAACTTTCCGGCGCAATTCCTCTATTTCAAGCTTTTGTTTCTTCAGTAATGCAGCATTTGTCAATATCTATTATTAAAAAAAAATGAACTAAAATCAGCTCTATATCCAACTGAAAAGTGTAATCTACTATTTACTTAAGTGTTAGGATTTTAATAAAAACGGAACCTTGCAATGCTATCAATTAAGTAGTTTAGAATGAACTACTTATGCTTCACTGGATTCCACTCCATGGTTTATTAGTTTAGAATGAACTAGTTATACTTCACTCTATTTTAATGATATATATGCTACTATTTGGATTCCATCAACTGTGATGGATGTAAAAGTATCATAATAACCTCTTGCTCCATATTACTTTGTTTAATTGTTATGGTACTCATGACTACATTTATTTATCAAACAGCATAAATGGATTCACAAGACTCGGCTGAGTTTACTAATACTACACAGCCTGCTAGTTACCCCATGCCCTCAATGAACATGAACCAATATAATCCTTCATCCAATTACACCATGTCATTTCACGGTGCGAACCAATTCAACCCATCTTCTGCCTACTCTATCTCACCTCGCAATATGAACCAATTTACGCCACCCATCTATCATGTTGATCCTAAAAGTGGAACCTTTCCTTTCCATACCCATCTATCATGTTGATCCTAAAAGTGGAACCTTTCCTTTCCATATTGAGCAGCATAACTCACATCAGTTCTCCTACCAAGAACTGCTCAATACACCCATAGTGACCTCTCAAAGTTGTGAGCCCATCAAGGCATCAAAAAAGAGAGCTAAAAATGCCCAAAACTCTAATACTTCTCAATCTTCTACTCCCCAGCCTTCCATTATTAAAAAAGATTGGTCTATTGAAGAGGAGGTTGCACTGACAGAGGCCTGGCTTCATATATCTGTGGATGCTGATGTAGGAAATAATCAGAAGTGCTGCCATGTGGAATCGCGTCCTAGAAGTTTGGAAGTGGAAAATGGGGCCAACTCACAAGATATCAAGAAACAACAACCTGCATTGTCATTGGCACCTAATACGAACCTGTGCAAGTAAATTTGTTGCGAAGTATGAACAGTTGGAACAACGTCCACAAAGTGGTTCAAATAAGGATGATTTGGTAAGAGTCGTGTTATATTTCAGCACTTGTTATTACAATTTTATATTAAAGCACTTATTACAATATAATATATGATTTTGCAAGACCAGTGTATCAATTATTTAATTTAAAGCAAGGAAACTTTTCAAACATATGCCACTCCATGAATGTATTTTTAAATGTGACTTATTATGCATGATACACTTTCATTAGGTGATCAAAGCATTACACTTGTATGAAGATTTTTATGCAACTCCATTCAAATTTCTTCATTGTTGGAAAATATTGATCAAGAATCCAAAGTGGTGTTCACACAGTTTCATACAAAGGCAGGTGCATCTAACAAACAAAGTTCAGATAATGCATTCACCAACATTGAATGAGTGCTCAAGCACTATGCTTGCAGATCTTACACCATCAAAAGAAACTGACCCAGATGGAATTGTTCGACCACAAGGAAGGAAAAATTGTAAAGACAAAAAAACGCAGGTTAAATGAAGAAAAAAGTGTGGTGGATGCCTTGAATAAGTTGCAATCAACTTTGGAGAAACAAGTTGACGTTAATCGAGCAAACATGCAAACGAGAGAGAAAGTGTTGATGAAAGAAATTGAATTAAAAGAAAAGGCTCAAAGGAGACAGTACCAGAACCGTATTATGAACCAAGATTTGAGAAAGCTGTCACCATCAGTTAGAGCTTCTTATGATGTTATGCAGGATTTTTTTTTAAAGAATGGGAAAGTGATGGTCTTTTCTAATCTAAAAAAGTAAGTGTTCATATTATATGATTGTTTATTTGATCTTAATTTATTTTGTTACTTATATATATGATATGTAGTAATATATTTAGAATTTAAATTGATCTCTTTTATCATTTCACCATGTGCAGGTTGCATTTTATTGGCATCAAGTTTGAAGGATTTGGCTTTAATTTTCTCACATGAAGACTATGATCAAGAACTTTTAGATTTATTGTCATTCTTTATTATTTATGTATTTATTTTGAACACTTCAAATATTGACTTTCTACCTTACGTTTAATTTTGAACACTTCGAATTTTGACTTTCTGTCTTACCTTAAGTTTTGAACACACATTAAGGCGTGTCGTACTTTAATTTTCTTGTTTAGAATGAATGTAAACTTTGCTTTTTCAGTGTAAGTTCACTTGGAATTAAAATTTGTGACATGTTTAGTTTATACGAGTTAGTTTATCTGCATTGGCAGATTTACTGTTGTATCATTCCAAGTGCTTAATTTTCACTGTGTTGAAGCTGGGGGTTTTACTATTTGGGAAAGAGGGGTTTAATTTTCAAGTGGTGCTTAATTGGAACTAAACATAGCTGAGTGAGTTTAGAAGTCAATTGCAACAGTCTTATTGGTCGGGATTGACGAATAGGGGTTAAGTTAATTGAGAAAAAATAACAAGTCAGATTCGATCATCAATACTAAGCAACAAAAACACAAACTTCCCAGAATTTACTAAGGAGTAATAAACTACTCGTGTATAAAATCACATAGATATACTAAGCACCATAAGGTCATCCCAAAACACACAATTTGACCGATTTATAAAACATTTGAAAATATGTGAAAGTCACACTTATAATTTATTACACTAAAGAATCCTTTACAAAAATCTGAATAAAATTCACAAACTCAATTCCATGCAATACTTTGGATACAGTATAACTTAAAAAAGACACTTCAATCTTCTCTCTGACCACCATACGGTTCCCACAGGTGATTGATAAGATCATGTTTTAGATATTTATGTACTCTTTTATCTTGTATTTCTTTCATTCTACCATTTATCCTAGACATAAGATAAGTAAAATCATGCTCTAGAGTAATATCTTCTATTGCTTCGTCGCTTTCTGGCCACCAATTTTCTGGATTGATGCCTTCATCGACCTCACTTTCAATAATCATATTGTGCAAGATGATACATGTCTTCATTACTTTTCCCAAATCGGTTGCCCTCCACATGCGAGCGGACCTTTTACTATATGTCAACGACTTTGTAACACTCCAAATGCGCGTTCCACATCCTTCCGTACAGATTCTTGACATTTTGCAAATAGCATTCTCCTTCATAGAAATGGGTTGTGAAATAGTTTGGATTAATGTGGCATATTGTGGGTAGATATCATCAGATAGATAATATCCCATATTGTACTGATGGCCTTGTATTTTAAAGTCGCATGGTAGTGCATTATTGTAACACTTGAAATTTTATATAAACGGATTGATAGTACTACTCATACAAACAGAGATGCATCTCCTTTTAAGGGAGCTCATCACTCAAGAACTCCAAAGTTAAGCGTGCTTGAAGTGCAGTAGTCTTGGGATGGGTGACCCCCTGGGAAGTTTCTCAGGGCGTGCATGAGTGAGGACAAAGTGCGCGGTAAAAGCTCGTGATGGTTTGTGAGGACAGTACTAGAGGTCTGGAGTAACTACCTCGGGTCCTGTGGGGTCGGGGTGTTACAAGTATCATTAACAAGGTCATCGAAAAGAGGAGATCTATCAAGAACAATAACATCATTGTTAGTACTCGTCATACCAAAGAATGCATGCCAAATCCATAAATTATGTGAAGCTACAATCTCTAGAATAAGAGTTGGAACTTTTTTGAACCCATTAGTAAATGTTCCATGCCAAGCAGTCGGACAATTTTTCCAATGACAATGCATACAATCTAGACTACCAAGCATTCTTGGAAATACACGAGCTTCACTATCTTTTAATAGACTAGCGATACAAGACGTGTTTGGTTTTCTAAGATATTGTTTTTCAAACGATCCTATTATAGCACCACAAAATTTTTAAGGCATTCAATTGCAGTACTCTCACCAATTTGAACATATTCATCAAGGGAATCAGCTGAACAGCCGTATGAAAGCATTCGTATTGCCGCTATAACTTTTTGTAAGGGACTCAACCCTATTTTTCCAGCGGCATCAACCTTTTGTGTAAAGTAATTATCATAATTCTCTACTGCATGCAAAATTCGCTCGAATAGCTTGATATCCATACGAAATCGACGACGAAACTTATCTCGAGTATACTTTGACTTCTCACCAATGAAGTAGTCACTTTTAATAAAATCATGGCGTTCTTTCTTATCACGATGAATGTATTCTCTATCAATAGTTGAACCCCCATGTGCACGTTTTTTACCTGTTATATACGTTGACATCAAAATTGGAATCTGAACCGTGGCAGTTTCAACCATGAATGAGTCAGCTTCTTCATCACCATCCCTAAAAATTGACTTGATAAGAGAAAGTGACTATGTGCTTGAGGATGATGCAGCAGTTGAGCTGAATTCAGATTCTTCTGATGACATCAGCTATGGCATTTTAACATAAATTTAAAATATAACTTTGATATAATGAATGTAAAAAAACACAATTACTAATTTAAAAACTAGCAGATTCCTCCATCAATATATATGTTAAAATCAATTGAAATTCACACGTGATATTACTGAAAAAGCAAACAAGACAGTAACAAAATCAAATTAAAAAATCATATAATTTTTTTCTCATCAACCATCTGAATCGATAAATTCATGATCATCAATTTTTATCTATATTGTTTCTAGATAAACCAAAAGAAGAGTATACCATGATCAAAATTAATTATCCAAAGGTATTGGGTTTGTGATACAAGAAGCAGAAATCAAATAGGAGGATTTAAATACCTAAATTTGATATTTCGTTCCTGTTTCGTGCCATGGAGTGATATGGCTGCCCATGATTTGGTTTACGGGTTTAGTTATATAGGTTTACAGAAACTAGGGATTTCCGTTTATGAGTTTAGTTAGATACGTGTTTTAATTTTCTTTTTTAAAAGGTAGTTAGATTAATCGGTCAACACCATGCATTGGACATCCCTAATTAATTACTTTTAATTGCATCTTATATGGGCTAACATTGCTTTACTTAATTGACATTTGGCAAAATTTACCTTCACTCCAAAGAGCATCATTGGAGATGCTCTAATTAAGGATCATATTTGCTTTAGAATTTTTTAAATGAATAGGTGACGTGGAATTAATAAAACATGCACTAGACCCATAAACAGGAGAACTATCCTTTTGGAAAATTTTGCAAATAAAATTATGCGGAGAAGAGCTGCCCATTAATGTATCACCATTTGTACAGCATCATCACCTATTTTTAAAAATTAGCAGTGCGTTGCAGCGGGCGGAGCATTTGTTATCGGTCTATCAAGAAAAGAAAATGAGACGGAGGGGGCGGAGGAGGGCCGCTGCCCAGGCGGAAGATGACGGAGATGATTATTATTTTAATTCGGGTGGCCCGTTTCCTTCTCCTTTCGGAGAGGATGAGAATCCCACTTCAAGAGTGTGCCATTGGCTCTGACTTCGAATCCAGTCCATAAGACCACTACAACATAGAGTCGATACAGAGGATTACCAATTTACCAGGAACAAGTTTCGTTGTCTCAAGAGAGGACCCAGTTTCCAAGAAAGGGCCTCAGTGCACTAATGGACACTATATATGAACGGATCCCATTTTTTGAAGACCCTAGGTCATACGCATTCTGATTGGGTCTTTGGCACAATTGCAGAGCTCGTTGATAACTCAAGAGATGCCAAAGCCACCAAACTTTCTGTTAGCTTGGAATATCTGAAATCGGTTGGTGAGGAAATTCCTATGCTCTCTTTTGTAGATGATGGGTGCGGTATGAACCATGAGGAGGTTTTGAAAATGATATCATTTGGCCCCCCTAAACGGAAGGAATATGACACTGGTCACATTGGGATTGGCAGATTTGGCATCAGCTTCAAGGTAAAAAATTATTATTATGTTATTTTGCTTAGTCCAATGGGACTGAGGGAGTTATATGTTTACAATGCTTTGATTATTTTTTTGCAGATAGGAGCAATGGCCCTGGGCAGGGATGCCCTTGTTCTTACCCAGACTACCAAATCCAGATCTCTTGCTTTCCTTTCCCAGACACTAAATGAGGGCAAAATTGTATGTTGATTAAAGTATTTGTCAATTTATATTCTCTGGTCTTTCTCTGGTCTTTCTCTGGTCTTTCTCATGCCCACCTCGTGACGCCACTGCGACGGCCCATGAAGCTCCCTGGCATCCTTGACCCGAACCACCATGAGAGCCATGCCTTGCTTGGCGCCTAAGGTCTCTCAGTTTCTCTTTTTGATACCACTCGAGTAATTCACCCATTTGGGCAAACTGAACATCACTCTCATCGTTGTCCTCGTCGATGTACGTATCACCCCCATCGTATGTTGTCTCCTCATGCTCTGTTTCAGGAACATATGTAGAGTCATAGTTCTCGGTGTTGGTTTCATACACTGAACTAACATGGCCATCGCTCACAATTTGAGCCCGATGACCTCCACGGCCTCTGCGGCCTCCACGGCTTCCCTTTGAGCCCCGAGATGCAGCCCAGCTAGCCCCAATGGCGCTACCAACACCTGCCCCCTCGGATTGTTCCTTTTTGTCATACGCCTACCCTCCATTTTTGAAAAGACATTTGGATGAGTCATTAGACTCCTATCAAGTGTCAATTGACTGAAAAACGTTATAGACACATATTGGCCCACGTCACCGTCATACCAATTGTTAAGGGTACCATCTTAACAATTAGAGACCTTGCATCTTAGGTAACAATAGTTCTATAAACGTCAATATACAATGCTCATGGTTTTCGGTAAAAACTCTTTTGTAAAATCTCTCGTGAGCGGTTGATTATATAGTTTAAAACTGAGATGGCTCTAATACCACTTAATTGTCACGCCCCCGACCACAATCTAGGCGCGTGTACAACCGCCGTAAAATCAAGTGACGTCACATGCGAGTCAACATCACTTAATCATACAAGGCGTTCGAGAAAATAATACATCCATGCTCAGTGGTAAACATACATAACAACATCACAATTATACCAATGAATAGCGGAAATATTCAACGGTAAATCTTAAGCCACATTCGGCCAACAACATGGGCATGCAAGCCCCAAAGTAGTTTATAATAAGTAAAATATCCACGAGCAATGTTTGGTAGTTTGAAAGGAAATAAGGAAGCACGAACCACGTCTTCCTTTATTTGATACCACTCATAAAAAGGTGCAAGTAGCAAGCCCTAGCTTCAACATGAAAACGGTGGGCCCCCCCCGAAGGGGTCAGTACAAGTACCGAGCGAGTAGCAGGTTAAATGTAGAATAACTAGCGTTTCAAATATAAGACCCAAACATAGGGTGGTACTTACATAAGTTGTCCTTTTTTCCCCCAAGTTATGAAATACTTATTAGTATATATATACTTGGATATAAAAGAAGCAGAATCAGTTCCAAACACATCCTTGCATGATTTGCCGAAATTTTATTTTTGCCACCTAGTTTATCCTCTACATGATTTATATTCTAACTTATATGACCTCCTATTTTGTGTACAATGTTGATGTGGATATAAAAGTTTCTAGGGTTGCATATGTGAAATTTCAATAGAGGTGAGTAAATTTTTTTGACCGAACCTTTAAGTGGTATCTCTAGATAAGCATTCTAAAATAATTTTAGGTTCAATTTGATTCATTCAACAATAAAGTATCAAAATGTATTAATAAGAATAGTTGATGTACCATTTATGTTAGCTATAGAGGTACATGTACGAACTAGTTTTACGCACACTCTTACATCACCTTCAACTAAAGTTCGACATCGACCATGACTGTATCTGTTATTGGCATGGACTCCTATGAACTTGTTATTTTAATGTTTATTTAAGAAATGACATATTAGTGTTATTAGAGTGGCATTAAGCAATAATGGTGTGCCCAACAACATCTCCTATTTAAGGAATTTTTTCTTTCTTTTTGGTCATTAAACTAACAAATATATATTATATTAACAAAACGTTCGTCATTTGGCTGACAATACAATCAGAGAAAAAGCATGAAACAAAATAATAAAAAACCTTTTGTCTGCCGTCTGCCCTTGAACCAGACTTGGAATCCATCAGCTTTGTAGAAGCAATAACATTCGTTGATCTTGTAATGAGCACTGAGCCATGACCGGCAAACTAGACTTCTCATCACCTCTAAAACGTTGATATCTTTAAATATTTTGGTCAAAGAAGTTAAACTTTGACCAGTTATATGTTTTTATAGGAACTTAATTACAATATATAAATGACATTAAAATTTTATTGGTTTAAAATAATGGTAGTACTTGTTTGATCCATTCAAGAATTAAAGTATCAAAATGCATTGATACAAATAGTAAATCAACCGCCTCCTTTTGAATGGAGAAAACCTAAGAGCAAGCTTAAACTTAATACAGATGCTAGGTACTTATCTAGTCGAGCAGCCATATGAGCGATTATCCGTAACGAAATGGGAGAGCTGGTGTTTGCCATCTCGTTTCCGATTGATGCTCTGTTCTCTATGGAAGCGGAGCTTAAAGCTATAATCGTTGCAGTTCGTTGGGCTATTGATGCGGGTTAGGCCGAGTTTGAGGTTGAATGTGATTCGGTCTGATCTATTGAGTAATGTGAGTATCTTTCAGGTAAACAATCGAGAAGATGGAGAGATGATATTCACGAAACAGTGCTTAATGCAATTAGGAAATGGATCACATCACCTTTCGTCATTCTTTGTGGGAGACCAATTGGGTGGCCCATTACTTAGCAGCAATGGAGTCAGCCCAGCTACAGATTTTTACGAGGCCACATCTACTCCCGGTCAATGCTAAACGGGCTTATTACATGGACTTATTTCCCATTCCTTCTATTAGATTTTATATTTAATTGTTGTCTATTTTTTTAATTGTTGTATTTTGAATTTTGAGAATGTATGCCTTCTCTGTAGACCTGCACAAAAACGGGTTCGGGCCGGGCTCGGGCCGGGCTTTTTATAATTTTTTTGCCCATCATGTGTGGGCGGGCCCGGCCCGGCCCGCAAAAACGGGCCTAACTCCATGTGCATACCCGCCCGTAAGAGCGGGCCGGGTAGTCCACCGGGCCTCCCGGCCCGGAAAAGTTTAAATTTTTCTAAATTATATAATTTTTTTAATACTTTAAAAATAATATGACAACATTTAAAAAATTGTTAATACGCTTATAATATTTATAGCCTTTCCCCACATACAAAAATAATAATGAGAAACTATATCTAAAATTTAAATTTCAAGCAAAAAGTATTATCTTTAAGTACAAAAATAGATACTATATTAGTTGAGCTAGTTGTTAAGAACTAAAAACTTAAATTTACATATAATAAACTATAAATATGTATAAAGGTAAATTATATTAGTAAATATAAATATACATGTGTACATGTAAATAAATAAATTAGTGTGTGTGTGTGTGTATATATATATATATATATATATATATATATATACACACACACTAAATGTAGCGGGCCGGGCTTATCGGCCCGAACGGGCCTACACCCTAACCCAAGCCCGCCCATATGTTATTGCGGGCCGGGCTCGGGCCGGCCCGGTGGGTAAATGTATATGCCCAAGCCCGCCCATTTGTGCGGGCCGGTTGGGCGGGCCGGGCGGGTCGGGCCGGTTTTGTACAGGTCTACTTCTCTGAGAGGTTTTGGCCTAGTCCCCTCTTGTTTTGTATTTTCACTTATTTTAATAAAACTTACATGGTAAATGTTCAAAAAACATTGTAATCGCTCAAATATTACCAAATATAATATACCATAAACATAATCGGACAACGTGGGGGATGGAGACAGTATCCTTTTAGAGGTAAAAGAATTGTTTAGGCATGGTGGCCAATGTTAACAAGAACGCATTTGGTTGCAGATAGGCCTGGACTCGGGCCGGGCGGCCCGACCCGGAACCGGCCCGGCCCGGCCACTGTAGCAACCGGCCCGGCCCGGTGGCCCGGTCCACCGGCGGTTCGGGTCGAACCGGCCCGGTGGTTCCCGGTTCCGGGCCCGGGCCTTCCAAATGGTGAACCGGCCCGGCCGGTTCGGGCCCGGTCCGGGCCGGATTTAATTTTTTTTTTTTTTTTTTTGAAATTTTTTTAAAGTTTTGGGTTGGAATAGGTATTTTGGGCCATTTTAGGTGGTTTGGGGTGATTTGGGGTTGAGGGGGAGGGGTAGGGGATTAAATAGGAGAACAAAAAAAAAAAAAATTAAGTGGGCCGGTTCGGCCCGGCCCGGCCCGGCCCGGTTTGGCCCGGAACCGGGACCGGAACCGGCCACCGGCGGTTCGGGCCCGGGCCTCCCATTTCCTGGCCCGAGGCCCGGCCGGGCCCAGGCCCGAACCGGGCCCGAACCGGCCCGAGTCCAGGCCTAGTTGCAGATGTTGATCAGGATTTCATCAAGATGTTTCACAATATGCTCTGTCAGCAAATAACATATAATTACAATGTAGCAGAGCAATTAAAATAATTCTCATCTAATCAAATTCAATCTTATGCGAACTTAAAACTTGCACAAGAGACCATGGAAGATCTCTTCTGCCCGGAAGGTGTTCGATTAGAAGCTTGCAAGACGGTTGGAATTCACGCATAGTGGAGTTGGTGGGTCGGCCTAGCTTAATCAACATTCAAGCTTGATGTACTCAAGATTTGAGTTCATCACTTTTAGAGGAAAGAAATGTAGAAGAGAGAGTACGAGAGGACGGGAAGGGACGGAAAACCTGCATAAAGGGCAAGTATGACAATGGGATGGTGATCTCAACAACCAGTTGGAGATGCAATTTACATGGAATATGTGATCACATGGCAACAACATTGCTCCAGTAGCCTCGTGCAAATGCTCCCCCGGAGCGGGGAGAAGCTCATCATCCAGACATTGGAGGCGAACCATCGCAATCTCGGAGGACGAGGATCCGTAGTTCTCAAAACAAATTGCACATCTTTTCTCCTCTTCTCCTTCCTCTTCGTCACCGCCAAGCTGATAGAAGTCATAGCCATTGGGAACTATCATCGGTAGAGGCATTGGAGACGATGGACCGTAAACATCAAAACTGTCTGGATCCCCTTGCCGCAGACATTCTTCGAGACTGATCAAGTCCTTAACTGTCAGAATTAAAGACAAGTGTATAGATACACCCACACCAAACCAGAACAATTTTGAGCAATTGTTATTGATGAGACTCAGTTTATCATTAAGCTGATCTCGACATTCAGTTAATAAAACGCGGGCGAAGCATCTTAGTCCACCCCAGCAGACCGCTGGCTCCAGCGGGGAGAGAACTTTTTCTGTAATCAAGGTGATGAATTCTTCTTGTTCTTCTTCGGTTCCTCCGTGGAGGATTTTCTTCAAGTCAATATTCTCCACACATTTATCACAAACGTCAACATAGTCCTCTATCTTATACAGAAGCTTCTTGTTGCCGCGGCCGCTCTCTGCCATAATCCACCATGTTTTCTCATATGAAGCATTCCCGTCCAGATATATACTAACTAGAGACCTTTCGAGATCGGGATCATCTTCTGTGTCTATGTCCAGATTCCACCGCCACTCCATTGTAGTGCGACCCTCCATGGTTGATCGCAGGCTATCTATTGATTAAGAATGAATTAATTAATTCATTACATAAGAAGCGGTAGTATGTACTTATAGTAGATGAAAAATACATTCCTAATTCCTACTGCTCTTAGGATTTCAAAGCGTGAGTATGTGGTCCTCAATCCGGAGCTGACATGGGGATGTAGCAAAAAAAGGGAAAGTTCCCCAAATAGGATTAAAACGGTTTGAAAATTCTAAAATAGGACTGCCAAGTTTTTTATTCCCAAAATAGGAGTAATTACTGTCATGTTTGGAAAATACTGTCATGTTAGAGGTCTGATACTGCCAAAACATGGCAGTAATTAGCCCTATTTTGGAAATAAAAACATGGCAGTCCTATTTTGGAATTTTCATACATTTTTAGTCTTATTTCGCGTAATATCTCAAAAAAAAAAAAAAAGACAATATGCCTAGACTTACCGGTCTAAATTAATGTGTTTTATTTTTATTCCTTCCTTTTTTTCAATCCTAAAGGGGTTTTCGACTTTGGTTAAAATTACAGACATAGAACTGGGGTTTGATAAGCTTAGTCTCTAGTCCATTCCAATTTTGACAATCACTTTTAATTTTAGGTAATTAGGAAAATCATTTGTAATTTAAATTACAATCCAATTAGGAAAATCACTTTTAATTTAGAGTAATTCTATTTGTGATTTCAAACTTTGTTTTATCCGAAGGGGTCGGGTGAGGGGGGCTGGCTGGGGATCTCCAACCTACTACTGTGTATATACTCCGTATTTACGATCATAAATTTAATTATTAATAAAAATATTTCATCAAAAAAATTAATTCTCCCTCCCTATTTAAATGTTTCCTACATTTTCTTTTTTGGGATGTATTTAAAAGTTTGCTACACTTTTCATTTTTGGTAAGTTTTTCCTTTAAATTACTCAATTAACTTTACTTTTTCAACTTTTTATCTTATCTTTCCTATTTTTCCACCTTCTTTCCTACTTTTTCTACAATATTCATTACTCCTACTATTTCTCCCTTAAATATTGTGTCAATCTCTAGTGTAGAGATCTTTTAAATACGGAGGGAGTATCAAATTCAATTACAATCATATATCATCATACAATTGAAACTTATTTAGAGATTTCATTTATATCACTACATTTTATATTAATCATTTATGTCCCCAAACTATTCCTCCATTCTTTATTAATTGTTCCTTTAGGCTTGAACACGGGTTTTGAGAGAAAAATAGTAGTAGTATAGATTATAAAGTGTGTGTAAATGATAAAGTGGGAAAGAGAGTATATTAAGAAGAGTAAAATGATTCTAAAGTAGAAAAGCAAGTACATTAAGAAGAGTAAAGTGATTTTTTTGGAAGAATTCGGCTTATATTTAACAGATAATTCAGAGTAAGGGCAAACAGACAAAAAGAAATCTGGCAACCGTTATCCAGCGAAGTCAACGATTTACAAACAGGAACAATAAAGAAAAATAAACAGCAATACAGAAATAACAATCACTAAAAAAGTAAACCAAACAAAAAAATAAAAGACTTCTCCCTCAGCCAGCAAAATCAAACAGTCCCTCGGACTTGCGGCCTCCACACTCCCATCAGCAAAATTGATCATTCAAAAAAATTTTGTCCTCTAAATTATGAAGGTTTAGTTTTTTTAAAAAAAAAATTGGAATCCATCTTAGAGTAGGAAGCGTGGTGAAGACCAGTCCCACAGGAGGTAATAAATGGCTCCTGGAGGGTTAATCGAGCTCTGGCAGAACGGGTGGATATACAGTGGCATATAAATCGGAAGAGAAGATGGGAAAAAAAAAAAGAGGCAGCGACTCAATCAGCCCAAAGCATTACCAAAGGAGGAGGGGATGAGTCAAAATAAAAGGTTTCGAGGAGGAGGAAGATCTGGGAGACTCGTTCAGAGAAGATTCGAGAGGACAACATGTCTTTATAGCAATGGGTGCATGGTTCTCACCATGCACTGGTTGCACGGTATAGGTACTAAATTCATAGTCAGGGACGTTGCCACTACGTGGATAAGAGTATATGTTGGGCGAGGGGATTATAATTTTTTAGATAGATCATTATGAATAAATGTTTTGAACATAAATTAAGGTTATCATTCACCAACTAATAATTTACAGTCACCAACTTAAATTTTACAAATTATGTTCAATTCTTTGAAATATCAAATTCGATATACTATATTCTAGTCATTGCCTATGTTTTTTGGGGTATGGCTGCATGGTTTACATAGGCCATAATGTAAATATTTCCTTCTTACCTTATCTTGATCATCCGGATGATAATTAAAAATTCCTTTTCGTTGTCTGGGATCTAACGGAAGCTCTTCTAAAATCAACTTCAACACGAGCTCTCGTAGAATGTTGTAATTGTTGTTCACTAGATTTTCCACATCCTTTTCGAGTGGTGTCAATTTATAATTTATGAAACATTACATATACCTATACAAAGAATTTTTATTTTTCAGTGGTGTCAATTTTAGAATTTTTAAAAATTTTATATTCCTACTTATGAGGAATTTTTTTTCAGTGGTGTCAATTGACACCACACCTCCCTTGTTGGCTCCGTCCCTGACGGTGATGGGTTGAAAAGAAAACCAACTTAATTTTAAGGGAAATTAAAAAACAGAAAAAGAATTACAGGAGTATAAAATAAAATGTACTATATTTATGCGGGCTAAAAACCTATTTGAATCATATGTATGTATAATAAATTCAAAATTTCCAAAGTTTAAATGAAATGACGAGTTTTCATATAAAAGTTTAATTTACTAGATCGTGGTTCTTGGCAAATTCCACCCTACAACCGGCTATACTTAAGGCATGATACAACCGAGTTTATTTGTGATTAGTTTCAACTTTGAGGGTAATATATATCTTAGTGATCGTTCTTTTTTCCGCTAGGTGCTTATAGCTGTAGAGGTTTCTGCCGTAGACAAGTACTCCACCTTTTGTTTTGACGCAACAAATACTCCAGGTGGACGCCGAATCGGCCGATAGTGGCTAAGGCTTGTTGACTTTGTTCTCCCTTTTCAATTATAAATTTTAATTTTATAATTCAATTATTATGAAAATGTAGAATATAAATATTATAAAACATATTATTAATGTCCCAGTTTTTTCTTTTTCCAATCAAACTTCTAACTTATTTGTTTTATTTCTGTATTATAACATATTATATTTTAGGCATTAATGTTTTACTTTTCTATTTTTAATTTAAAATGAATATTTATTAGTTTGTTAAATATAATGTGTTAGTTACTGACATGAGTTTTGTGTTATACTAGAATGAGTATAGTGAAAAATAAATATGCATGGGTAAATATTATAAAAATAACTCAATCCCAATTATATTTGTAATTTGAGAACAAACGATTATATATTATTTTTAATATAAAATTAGAGTTTTTTCCATTTTCGCTCTCTCGACTATTGTGTCAGTGACACTTTTGGTACTCGACTTTTAATTTTTCCATTTTTAGTCCTCAACTATTGTATTAGAGACACTTTTAGTCCTCGACTTCAAAGTGTTGTTCCACATTTAATCCTTTGATATTATCAAATTGACACTTTTAGTCCTTCCAATATGATTTTGACACAATAAGTGACAGACTAAAAATGTCACTGTTATAATAGTTGGAGGACCAAAAGTGTCACTTTTATGTAAGTCGAAAGACTATAAATGGAAATTTTCAAAGATGGGTACCAAAAATGTCCCTAGTATAATAGTTGAGGACTAAAAGTGGAAAAAATCAAAGTCGAGTACCAAAAGTGTCAGTGACATAATAGTCGAAGGACTAAAAGTGGAAAAAACTCTATAAAATTACTATATTTGTGATTATATGTGCACAAATGAGTATTTGAACACGTTAGAGAATTCAAATGAGCTTTTGAATTTTTTGCGCTCATTTTGTAAATTACGTATGGTCATCTGGTACTGGTTTTATGCTCATTTTATAGATACGGGAGCAGATACAATGATACTGAATTACATGTTTCTAATACTCAATACAAGATGTGTGATGTTCAATGAAAATGTCTTGATGCTCAAGTAAAAATACTAATAATTTTCATAACAATGCTCATTTTATAAGTTATTTATGCTCAACAGGTACTCATGTTATGCTCATTTTTAAAATGTCATATCAATGCTCATTTTCGTTGATTGTAGACACGAGAGTAGAGATTATGCTACTCAATTACATGCTTCTAATACTCAATGGAAAAGGCTTGATGTTCAATGAATATGTCTTGATGATCAACTAACAAAGCTTATTACTTTTCAAATGAGCATACATAAATGAATAAATATATTTGAACATATATGCTCATTAATTTTGTAGGTTACGTATGCTCAACTGGTATTAGTTTTATGCTCATTCTAAAATGGCATATATCAATGCATATTTCAAAACTATCGCATTACATGAGAGGTTACTATAGACACGAGAAAAGAGCTCATGATAGTCAATTGCACGCTTTTAATACTCAATAGAGAGGTGTTGATGCTCAATGAAATATGTTTGATGCTCAACTAAAGATGCTTATTGTTTTCATATCAATGCTCATTTTGTAAATTACATACGATCAATTGATACTGATGTTATGTTCATTTTTAAAATATCATATCAATGCATATTTCAAATGTATTATATTATATTGCATTAGATTCACATATTGAACATCATAGAAATTGATAATAGATATTTTTAATAAGAAAAAAAAAGTGAATTAGAAGATATGATGCAGAGATTATGATGCTCAATCTTAGACTCCTAATAATCAACAGAATAGGTCTAGCGCTAATTAAAAGTTCATCAATGCTCATTTAACATAAACCATTATTTTCATCACAATATAGGAAGTTTGATGCTCAATGGAAATGTCATGACTCCCAACTAACAAACCTTACGATTTTCATATTTATGCACATTTTGAAAGTTGTGTATGCTCATTTGATACTGAAATCATGCTCATTTTTAAAATGACATATCAATGCATATTTCAAAAGTATCATACTACATTAAATTCGCATATTGAAGTCTATAGAAGTTGATTATAGATATAATTTAATGAGTTTTTGTAAAAGATAAAATAAGA